ACGCAACTGACCGGAGCGAATCAAAGTATCATTTTATCGGAAATCATAAACAGATTTGAGTGATAACCGCGTAGGCATATTGACGAATATATCTGCTACACTATCTGGTTATGATAAGAAACTATCGGAAATAAGGGAAATCTAAGTGGCTACAGGCTAGGTCTAAGGTAAATCTCTGAATTCAGGAAAATTATCTGGAATTTCGTATAACACATAGGTGGAAAAGGCGACGAAGCAAATAATCAGTGAATATGGCTGTACTTTTGTGTCGTAAAGGGAAATGAGAGAGGGGAAAGAAAAGAGAACATTTATAAGAGAATGAAATAAAATTTAAAATGTTTGAAAAATTGTTTTACCTGGCATTTTTTTCACTCAAAGACATAGATGAAGCGACGTTAGGTGTGAAGCCAGTCTCTGGATCCTTGGTAGCAGGAGATGGAAACGCTGCGATGTTGTATACGGATGAAACGACAACTGTAAATGTCTTTATAATTAGGGCAATGAAGAATAATGAATGACCGACCACGCTCACATAGGCAGATGATGATGATGAGCATTAGCATTATCACAAGGCGGGTTGGACGAAAACGAGTGGCTTTAGCGATTTGTGCCATTCATGGAGGGGACACGATCGCTCGGAACAGAAGCGTAAAACTTCCTGTAACTTTGCAGTGTTGGTTGGACTCACAAAAACTAGTTGGATATGCGCCATATCCAAAGCTCAAAAGGATTAAAGGATCAATTGCTGCTAAAGTGATCGATTGGGGATAATTCATGGAAGAACATAAACCATTCAGACTCAGCAGATGTCAAATATCTCAGTCAAGAGATTCGCAAAATGCTCGACTTTGATGAGTTAGAAGGAAATCGTACTCAAACTATCAAAAAGAGCTGTCTGAATAAACTCATGAGCGCTCCACTAGTTTTTGCTGCTTGCACCTGTGTCAACTTATAGGCATGGAGCGCGCGCAGGTCCTGTATCAATAAACGTTTCACTATGAAGTGGTTCT